GGTCTTGAATCCCCCACAGGTCCCTGGGTTCTGTTTCAGCTCCTCGTCCTAAAGGAAGACAGGGCTCCATGACATTCTACCAGGAATGAGCACAGGGTGATCAGGACACCTCAGCACTGAGAAGGCAGCTGCTCTTGTCCATGTCTGCACACAAATTATGAGATGTGGTTTTTTTCAAACTGTTCCTAAGCCCATAAATATACAAAACAATCATTTAAAACATAATAGGAAATCATATGTTATATTTTAGTTTTAATATATTCTTCCTTGTCATAATCAGTCTTGGTTGGAATACAAACAACTCAAGTCTCAAGGTTTTCTTTTCCAGGGTTTTTGGTTGAGGGAAAAAGGTGTTTAAAAAAACAGCTAGAATCTTTTAAAGCTCAAATTAGACTTTATCAAGTGAAAGTAATATAGTACCCAATATAGAGTTTGACATTTTCTAGGTACTCAGTAAATGCCTATTCATTCACTTTCCAAATCAAATTTTAGTTTCCAAAGAAAATTATTTAAAAAGAAGAGAGGTGCACACTATTCTAAAGAATTCTAGTAGGAGTTCATTACCACGTAAGGCCATGGGTTTAGAAATGAAATGAAAACGTATAGCCAAGAGAGATTAAATCTGTGGCTATATGGTTGACTAGATCGACTGTTAATTAGGTCAATTGTCTAAAAGATAATAGAATTACTTCTTGGCTGATATATTTGGTCACTGAAGCCACCAAAGTAACTCCACTGCAAATTAAGTGGTCAAAGAATTTTAGAAAGCAAAATCTCGTGAAAGTCACAAAACTTTTTCTCTTAAATGTCTTAAATCTTCTGTGCTGGCTCAGGAGAAAATAAACCAGAAAACCCTGAAACATGGACACTGGTAACAGACCAAAACAAGCTTTTAAGATTTCATAACCACAGTTTAAAAAATATATGAGCATAAACTCCAAGAAGTACATCAGTGAAATGTCTAAATTAAGAAAACTGACTAGAGTATTTAAAAACAGGAAATAGCAGATAACAACGTGGTGAATGAGACTACCAAATGAGCCCTGGGAATGACCCAAAGGCCCTCCTTAGCTTTCCTCTAGGGCGGATGACATCCTATACAAGGGGTGGTGCTCCATGTCAGTTATAGAAAACGAGAACCCAACTGAGCTTTCAAAAGCAGATGGAAAGATCCTCTGGGTATGTTTGCTCCTTATGTAAATTAAGCAGTCATTATTTACTCAAAATTGAAAGGAGTGTAAATTAAAAAATAATTAAAACAGTATATACGGCATATTTTTCACACCTTACATGACACTTCAAGGAATGTCTACACAATTTTTCATGTATTCTCTACTTAGTAAGTGAATAGCTGAGGCGAATTCCACCATCTTTAACCTACGAATGAAAAACTTAATTCTCTAAAGGCAGACCCAGAGACCATCATCTATACAACTGTACAACCCAGACATCTTGGGGTCACCCCCAATCCCCTCTCTCACACACTCCTGCCTTAACTCAGCCTTCATGTCCTCAAGCTACTATCTTCTAAAGACATCTCAAGTCTCACTGGCACTGACTGATCTAAACAAATATCTCAGGTATTCAGGGTCTTTCCAAATACTCCACTTCTAATCCATACTCCACAATGCCACCAAAGTACTCTTCAAACCCCACAACTACTCCAAACATGACTTTGCCTAAAATCTTCAAATGGTACCCTAGCATCTTCAGGATAAAGTCCAAATGCTTGTGCACATGTACAAAATACCTTAAAATCTGGCCCCTCCTACCTAATTTCTTGCTTTTCCCAAATGTGCTCTGGTCCCTTCATCACCCTTCTTTCCTTCAAAAACCATTAACTAGGCACTATTTTAGGTGCCTGGCATACACAAATGAACAAAGCAAAGACCCTTGCCCTGGTGGACCTTACATTCTTATGGTAGGTAGAGAGCTGACTGACAGAGAGAGATGTGGGTAGACGGAGGACAGATGGTAGGTAGATAAATAGATGGTGTATATAGATAGACAGATTATTGGTAGATGATAGATAGCTAATAGATGGTTGACTGACAGACAAGTTGGTAGACAGATGATCAACAGACAGCTAACTAGATAGACAGATGACTGATATAGGCAGGTAGGTAGGCAGATGATAAGATTACTGATACAGATAGTGAGATGATTGACAGATGAGTAGATGGACAGACAGATGACTGAGAGCATGCCAGGGGTAACAGATGCAGTGGATGCAAACAAATCAGGATGGAAAGAGCAGGGACTGTGTATGAGATGGCATGGTGCTTTACCATTTTAATTGGGTGGTCAGAGAATGCCTCACAAAAACAGGGAACACTCAGGGAACCAGTGTGGCTGCAGAGGAGGGCGACGTGCAAGACCAGAGTGTGGAGTGACAGGAGGCCAGACCATGCACATGGTGGGTCACTGTTGCCACACGACTCTTACTCTGAGAGCAACAGGAGCTGCTGGAATTCTTGAGCAGAGGAGTGTCGCGAGCTAACGTACGTTTAGAATTCAGGGCGCCGTTATGTTGAGGACAGCCTCTGAGGGCAACCGAGTGAAGGGAACCAGAAAGAAGTAGAGGAAGTGGGACGAGGGTGCCTGGAGAGACGCCCATAGGAAACGAAGTCGCAGGGACAGGAGCTGCTGGAATTCTCTGCAGCTTCCGCCAAAGTGGGTAGAGTTCCGAGTCTGGAGTTCTAATTGGGAAGGACTAAGGCAAACCGGGGCTTCCCCTGCCCTCACGATGATGCTCACGAGAACTAAGTGATTTAAAGTAGGGCCTGAGGTAGGGGCTGGACAGGTTGGGGTCTGGTTTCCTCTGCAGAGGGCTGTGCTGGCCATGTCCCTATGGACTGGTGACAATCAATCCCCTGACGTCACCCTCCATTCTTCTCCTCAGCACCACCCCTCCATCGAGTCTTCCCCTCTGCCCACAAAGAGGGGTGGTAGTGTGCACAGGTGAGCGGAGATGCACCTGAGGCCCAGAGATCACCACCTCCTACTGTACTGTGTTCACCTCTCTCAGACTTTTACTTGAAAAGAAAAGCAGTGACACCACCACCACCTGTCCTACTGATTTCCCAAAATAACTAGGAGGATTTGAACAAGACAATATACCTTATCAAAGGCCATATAAAGTTTTTACGGTATATCATCCTCCACCCTCATCGTTAGGAAAGACATATAATGTAGGACACAGATTGTACTATGATTTAATTTCCATCTAAATTTTAAAAGTTAACACAAAAAAATACAGGTTAGAAGTGGACAGGAGATATAATCTTCTATCTGGTAAGAAGTCAGATTACAGGGTCAGACAAAGCTAGATTTGCATCCTAATTTGGTGAGTTAGTTATCATTAACAATCACTGAACTTCAATGTTCTCATCTATAAAATGGAAATAAGAACTTGACTAGTTTCTCTGAGAACTAAAGATACGGATGATCGTAAACATGTGTCTACCTGTGTGTCTAAGTGCATGTCTACATATATATCTATGTGTATGTCTACATGTGGCTATCTACCTGTATGTCTCCTGTATGTGTTACTATGTATGTGTATCTACCTGTGTGTGTCTACATGTGTGTGTGATATATAAAATGAACAACACACTCAAGACAAAGGAAAAAATGGAAACATTCCATAGCAAGTCGACAGCACATATGTGTGTGCTACCCTCCTAATTATTTGAAAGGGGCCTTTGAGATGCCCGAATGAGTACAATGTGCTCTTGGTATGTGCTAGGAGTTAAAATACCTGTGAAAAAAAAGAAAGTGGATTTGGGAACAAACTCCTGCCCTCACTCCACCCCCACATACTATCCCAGGCACCAGGCCTGAGGGGGCCAAGAAGGCAGGAGCAGCAGTGAAGCTGCACTGGGCTTCTTCCTAGTTTCTCAAGACCATTCTTCTTGCTTCCGCAGATGAAGATTTCTGATGCCATAAAATCTGTCTTACCCCTTCTTCCCTTCCAGAAAGGAGAGCAGGGCCAGGCAGTCAGGCACACAGCTCCTTAGCGGGAAGGGTGGTGGTTTATCTTGCAAGGCCCCATTAATGGAAAAATTCACAACGCTGAGAGGCTCACAGGGTTGACCCACCCACCTTGGTATGAACTGGCTGAGCTACTGCTCCTCTTGCAGTCTCAGCTTCCTCTTCTGCAACATGAAACAGTCATAAGTACTTCCCCTTTCTGTTACGAAAACCAAGTGAGATAATGCCTTTGCAAGTACTTTGCAAAATATAAAGTGATAATATAAATGTTATAATTTGGATTGTCATCATGAGCAATCCACATGTACCCTGAACTGGTGTCCCAGCAACAACACTTACTGATAATTTCCTTTTAAAAAATTAGGGAAGCAGGTAAAAGCAACTTTAATCCAGATGTTGGGGGAAAAAAAACTTTTTTCAAAAAGTAAAACATTAATCACAATACAAGTTTCCAGATGCTCAATTAATGAAAGATATTTAAGCCAGTCAAGCCCAGGTGATGACTGCAATAAAACGGAATTATGAAGATAGCATTCTTATATACAATATCATAAAACACAAAGGAAATAAACAGAGAACATACAAATTATTAAGAATCTTATTACTTTTTTGAAAATTGTACTTGAAAACAGAAATCACTGAGGTTAAAAGAGAAGGAAAAAAATACTAGCAACCAAGATTATGAAAAGTAAAACCAAACTTTTAAACAGTAACACCTAAAAGAAATAAGCAAAATTTGGCTTATGAGAGGTTACTTTTTAAGTTCTTGTGAAATTCTAAATAATGGGAACTATCTTAAAAATATAAAGAGTTATTATTTACTGAATTTTAATGTGTACCCTAGAGGGTATATTTGTGTCTGAGATAAGATAGCATCTGTGGGCCACATGACCAACCACAGGGACATCCAAACTCACTGCCTCGTACTCACACAGCTTCTGCAGACATGTGCCCACTCGTTCATTCCACCATCACCCACATTACAGACGCCACACCTGGTGCCTTACCTGACCGATAGCGCTCATCTCGTGACCCTGAGGACCTTCGGCGGTGATAGCGAGAGGCAGAGGAAGGAGTAACTGGAGCCCGGCGCTCTGGAGGCAAAGCTTGATCCACTCCTGGGTTAATGAGGAAAACAGCAAAGTAAGGAGAGGTTTACTGGCAGCTGGAGTTAACTTATTTTGCAAAACAAATCATTTGGTAGAATAAATCTCTGACTCTCTGCTTTCCCACAGTCAAGCTGAAGCACACAGGGGAGTGGGCATGGAGGGCTGGGACATCCTGGACAATGAACAGGAAAGGAAGAAGTATCCGGGGTAGGGCACGACTCAGGGCCCCAACACTACAGCCTTCAGAAACACCGGTCCAGGCTCCTTCACGTCACAAATGCCTGTTATGTCATGTGCCGTGATGCAGAGTACGCTACAAGCAATAATTCTTTAAATTACATTTATCATTAAATTAAAAGCAACTGCAAATAAGTCTTAAAGGATATTTTAATAATATAATTCAGGTAACCAGGCTGGAGCATAAACTTTCATCTTTGTTCATTCAAAATTTCAAACTCTCTGCAATCTGACTCCATTTGATGCTAAACAACTGAATAAGCTGTATTTCAATATGGCTTTGAAGAATTACCATAACTGTTTACATGGTCAGATAAAAATGATTCAATGATACTGGCCAAAAGCTGACCTAACTCTAACAATCTTGATACCTATTCACAACTAGAGTAGTCAGAGGCACAATTTAGATAAAACTTGGTACTATGGGAAAGATGTAATCACTACAGTTCAGAAATAAAGTAATTCTGAGCCCTGAGTATTAAAGATTAGTTGTTGCTTCTTCAGAAAACGGTTAGTAATGCTCAGTAGAAAGTAAACCAGAAAGAGCAATTTTAGCAAAAAACTGTCTGGTCCCTGGTTTTCTGTGATGGCTCCATATCCCTCCTATGCTGGTGATTTCTGAACCTCCCTTTTTAATGGAATGTTTGTGGGCCCTACATATTACGTTTGCTATGTTAGCACTGTACAAAAGACACCTGCACTGCAGGCCTGGGTTAGGTTCCACGGTTTTTCGTCTAGCAAGCATATTAACATTGCTAATGAACAGTCCTTGTCACTGAACTGTTCACAGCTCCAAGTCTCCTCCAGCTATTGTCTCAAATCTTTTAAAAAATTACTTTGTATTTTTATCAAACAGATGCACAGAATTTATGACATCAAAGACTACTATTAAGTCTCAAAATGAAAACAGTAGTTACCTGGTATTTACATTCATATTGAACCTTAGAATTCTAAACAAAATTATTTGTAAATTAGAAAAATTTTAATTTATTTGTATAAATATATTTATTTGAAAATTATTTATATTCATTGCCTTTCCTGTCAATTACTGTCAAGAAGTTAAATTATTAAATGTCATTCTGATACTATAATCTTTATGTAAAATCTGTTTATTTTTTTCTTCTCTCCTGTGTCAACTTTTATAACTTTTTCTTTAATCCCACTGAAGGAGGTGCAAGCAAGCGTTTCTTCCTATGGCAGGGGCATCACCAGATCTACTTCCAGTAGGTCTTTTACCTGGGCTGTTCCATTTACCCAAAGAAGGGACGTCTGGTCTCCTGTATTGTGACTTAACACAGTGTTCACAGTGTTTAGCTGGAGCTATTTTCACTCTCCAGCACATGCGCTCTGATTCAGGGCCTCTGGGTGCAGTACTGCCAGGTGTCCCCAACTCCAGAGGCTCTTAGTTCCCTTTCTCCAGAGAGCAAACATCTCTGGGGGAACAGGGAGGATGTGGATCGCCTGTTCCCTAGATGCCATGCCTACCCCCACCCCCCGCCGTGGTTTCATCAGCACCTTCATCTGCTGCCTTCCTCCCCTTGGCTAAATAAGGTGCCTCTAATTATCTACCTTATATAGCTTAAAAACACATCACTATTTCTCCCATTCTCTTGTCCTGGGATTTATACTTTATCCATTTACTGACATCGTAGTGCAGCTCTGCGAAGAAGCAGAGCTAAATGTACACCTTTGAGCTGCTGAGGTTAAACAGTGCCTGATACACACACACACACACACACACACATCTAGCTTTCAATCTCAGTAGTTACCCATCTAGTTCTTTCAAATATGCTTTTTGGAATTAATTTCAACCTTGACCCCTTCCAGGTCCCTAGGTTGTCATATACTTCCTCTGGGAAGTGTAGTCATAGCACTTACAGACCAGCTATACAGAGTTGTAGGTTAATTCTCACCTGTTGCAGTCCCTACACATCTGTCTTCAGAAAGCTAAGTCTGCATACAAGCACTGTGAACATTTACTCTCATAGGCTGAAAAACAGTTTACAACCCAAGTTTTAAAAAGAAATGAATAAATTAGACAAAAGGAGAATAGCTTCAACAGGTCACCAGCAATAGGACATTAGAAGAGACTAAAATATAAGTGTGCATATTTCAATCATTAGTTTTTATCTGACCTCACTGTAAATGAAATTTGAGGTAGCTTAAAGGTACCTCAGTCACATATGCAACTCCAAATTAGAATGACCTGGAACCACAAGAGAAGCCGGGGTAGTATAACCCATGGCCCATGACCCACAGTAAGACGAGCTGACCACATGCTGCTGCTGGGATGGGCTCCCTCCTGGTAAGGCTAACCACGAATAATTAGTAAACACATAATTATAACACAGTACTCAGCACTGCTAAGGTCTCACATTCAGGCACGGGTGAAAACTAGCTCAAAGGAAAGCCACAAGATGACCAGTGTGTCTACGACACAAGGTGAGGCATCCCAAGGAAGGTGGGGTAACTGTCCAGAAACACGCAACGCAAGGGGGATAAAAAATTCTCTTCAGGCAAAAATGAGACAGAGATCAAGACTGGATCTCTTCTCCAACAAACATCTATTAAGCACCACTAGCTTCAGATCCCACACAAAAGGGGAAATGCACTGGGGACACCGCCATGCTCTGGAGCTAGAGCCCCAACTGCTGCCATCACGATCTGACCCTGAGCCTCAGTTTCCCATCTTTAGGCAGGACTGATAAGGAACAGCCAACACTTTACAGCACTGGTGCAAGCACTTTATATTTACTAATTTATTAACATAGGCATATGACATAAGGTTCTGCCATTTCACTGAGAGAAAATGCAGGCCCAGAACTGGGTCTTGAACTCAAGCAGTCTGTGCCACTCTCGCTAGTGCCCTTCCATTTTTGATGGGCATCATTTCCTGGCGCTCCTGGGCATCTGCTGTCACTCAGAGCCCAAGCAGAGGCCAGGCCCTTGAAGCGGAGGCTACGTGCTGTTCAGTGCTGCACTCCAGGTGCAATGATCACTGGTCACATGGACCAAGTCCAGCTGGTACTTTGAATCCAGGAAGAGGTATTTTTGTGCTCTCACCACAAAACTACTGTTCAAGAGCATTCTTATAAAGAGAGATGGAAACTGCTACAATTCCAGGCTGCTGCCCAGGAACAAACTCAGAGCAGGTGAAAACTGCTGAGGTTGTGTGACATGAAGGTGTGCACACATCGATCCTTGCTTGGGACAGGGGCAGGTTAAGAGCCCAGAGAAGGCAATGACTGACTGGCTGTCTGCCTCTGGCCAAGTGCTGCCCCTGGCTCACAGGAGGGTCTCAGGAAGCACTGCAGAACCAGTAAAAGAAATTTTCAAGGCTCGTGCAGAGTGCTGCAACTCATCAATTCATATACTACAATCTCAGAGAGCTTTTGTTTCCTCTAGAATTGCCACGGGACTGTAAATAAAACTCCTCATCAGAGGAAGAAGACCAGAGGTGCATAAGAGGAAAAGAGGAAACAAAAGGACAGCACCGGAGAGAGTAAAACACACCTCGTCCCGCTGCTGAGCGTGCACCTTCCTGAGACCTCACACTTCTGCACATAGCACCCCACCTCTCCACTTCCTCAAACACCTCCATCCCCTGGGACTCCTCTCTTCCCCACCCTACACTTTATCCTCAAGGTGAGAAAGGTCACCAGGCTTGGCGCTCAGCCCTGCCCCGGGGACCTTCACAGTCACACGCCACCTGCAGCTCCCTCTCTGCCACCAGGGCCGCGACAGCCCGGAATGTCAGTCTCTCTCTTTAATCCAAGCAGGGCTCTGACTGGTTCATGTCTCTACACCCTGTGGACCACAGAACTGAGCCCTAGGCTCCTTCCCTGACTGCCAACCTCCCTCCACCACACCCTCCTCACCAGCCACCTCCCACTCGTGCCTCCAGGCTCCTGTCACACAGAAACACTCTTCCCAAGTTTTTGCCCTGTCCTATCGCTATTCACTCCTCCAAATGCTTTTTTTTCCCTCCATATGTAAAAACTTTGTTTAAGCCCAAGTGAGAGAAAGCAGAGAAATCAGCCATTTTTATTAGAACTTCAATTACTTCTAACACATGTTTAAGAAAGTTTCCCCAAAACTAACATAATATTGTAAATCAACTTTACTTCAATAAAAAAAGAAAGGTTCCCCAAAGAAAATCCTGACAATATAGTTCTGGCACCTAAACAACCCACCAATTTCAGATTATTAAATAAATGCAGGTACTTCTTTAACGCTATGGTAAACTAGACAATAGAAATCACAATAATCCTCCTATTAACCTAAGAATAAGGCCCACAGGGGCTGGTCCATTCACCCAGACACAATGGTGCACTACAGGCCAGAAGACCTGCAGTAAAGACAACTTCTAGAAAAAGTATTTCTAAATTCAGACAGTAAGGGAAATACACTGAAAAACCTTGGTTTTCAACATATTTTTAAAAGAAATCATGAAGGATGTGTACAAGATAACCTGCATAAAAATGTATGTAAGATTTAAAACAAACATCTTGATTCAAATTCTGGTCTTATTTTTACTAATTGCATAATGGGACAAATCGCTCAGCCTCTGAACCTCGGTTCCCACATGTGTTGGGGTGCAGACATGGACACATTAATACAGGAGTGACTGCTACTCCCAGGACCCTCACCGTGACTCAAGGCTCTCTGCTCCCTGCACACAGCATTCGTGGATCTCAGGGTCCCTCGACCTCACCGGGCACCCAAAGGGCTCTCACTTAAGTGAAAACATGCTTTAGGCAGTTGGTAAAACT